ATGAAGTCGCTGTATACTTTCACCAGCTTCTTGTAGCAGTTGGTGCTTGGCTCCAGAGAGGGGTAGGCGCTGTGGGAGAGCGCAGCTGTGGGGCAGACAGTGCAAGTGATCGGGTGAGGGGTGTTGTGTGGTTCTGTTCCGTCGGGGCGTAGCAGGTCTCTTGGCGGGAAAACCTTAGCGTTGAGGCAGTTAGCGAGGGTTTGGCGCGAGGGGTGCCACAGTCGCTGATGCCAGAGGTCATCTTCGGCGCGAATGCCGGAGTTGCGCTTGTAACGAGCGTAGTGTTCTGCTATTTCTTCTTCCGGGAGATGCGGGATCTGGAGTGGGGGTTCTTCCTGTTCTCCTGGTTCCGCTTCGTTGTCCGGCTCCTCTGCTTCTGCTCCTGCCGTTGTCTCCCCTTCTGCACGTGCCGTTGTGAGATAGAGAGCGAGAAATTCACAGTCGGGGATGATGGTGAGCGGGGTCGTGGTGCCTTCAATGAAACGAGCAAACGGATCTGGGCGGGAGATTGGCCCAAGTGAGTCACGTGGAGGAGTTGGTGGTATATTCCCCTCCTCAATCTCCGACCAGGGATCGCTCCAACGATGAGGTGAGCGAGGGAGTTCACGTGTGCGTGGGGGTCGTCCGAGGGGAATGGCTACGCGGGGTGATTTTTCTCCGCGCTCATTCTTCATCTCCCGTTGAGCTTCCTCCAACTCTTCTTGCGTGAGCTCCCCTTCGTCGGGTTTGACTGATCCCCACCCTCCTGTGGTGACCGTGCCGCTGGCGCTGACTCCCCATGCTCCAGTGGCAGATGCCCAGCTTGCGCCTCCTTCTGGTTCGTAATCTTTGTCTCCCCATGCGCCTCTTCGTGCTAACTCCTTGTCCCATCCAGCCGCGACGCGTTGCTCATACAGTTTCTGCTTCATTTCCGCTCGGGCCTTGTCTTGTTCTTCCTTAACGCTCAGCTCCCCTTTTGCGTCAGGATCCTTCCAAGCTGGATCAATTTTACGGCGGTAAACTTCGCGGGTGTATGGGCGCGGTCGTCCTTCTGCGTCGAAGGTGGTGGTGTTAGCTTCTAGGACGAACTGGAGGTTGTCGGAGTATGTTCGCTCCGCTTGCTGACGTCCGGGGTCATTGGATGGTTCGCCGAAGATGCGGTAAGATGACGCAGCGAGTTCTTGTTCGGCCATGCCTGTGGGTTCTGTCTCGGCGCTCTCCGCCTCCTGAATTGCCGCGTACTCTTTTTCGACTTGCTCTGTGCGGCTCGCAGTAGGTGTCTGACAGGTGGTGCAGAGACCATTGATGTATGGCTCGTGCAGGTTGATCTCGCGGGGATGGGGGCTACGGCGAACCCACGGTCGTCCGTCTGGGTGCTCCCATGCTTTCTTGTCCATGTAGGCGAATTCGAGAGGGACGAGGTCCACGAGCTCGTCGGATGATGCTTGGCAAGAAGGTACGTCGAAGTCTAGAACGTAGATCCCGTTGATTGAGCGGGCTCGTCCGAGATACTTGAACGACTCGGGAGGGGTGTCTGGGGGAGTGTAGGTGAGGATGAGGTCATGTGTGGCGAGGTCCGTGGTGAGAATGACGCCACAGTCGCGAAGTTGTCCTGCCGAGAGGAGATTAAAGCGAAGGTTTGGGACGTAGAGTACGTCGTTGAATGAGATGTGTGTGTTGCTGTCTCGTGCTTGCAGGACCACGATGCCTTGCGCAGTAGCGCGCAGTTGCTCGTTGTTGGCGACGGTGACGTAAGTTGCGGGAGCGCGGCTCAGGTTTGAAACGTATCGCGTGGATCCCACCATGTGCTGTCCGCAGCAGCTGTCCAGGTACCAGGTGTTGTAATTGTCGGTGTTGTTTCTGCGCAGAAGTAGCGCCAGTCGCGGAGTCACCAGGGTTGCCTTGTAGCGCTTGTGGAAGAAGGGGTCTTCTTCTTCCTTCCATCCCACCGGTACGTAGCACTGGTTGTCGTGTGGCGGGCTTTCTCGCAATGTGATCGCTCGTCTTCATCATACAGGTAATAGTGATCTTGAGTGAGGGGATTATTCCAACCCTCTTCTGGCTCAAGGAATCTTCCTTGGATCTCGTTCTCTTCGTCAGGTTCAGCAGTGCGGCGTCTGCGCGTCGCCATATTTGCGATGATGTTTCTAGGAGCTCCTGATTGAGGTCCTTGAGTTTGCTGATGTTGATGTTGTGCAGGAGGACGAGTTGTCTGATGCTGAGGCTGAGAGTGACGAGCGTCTTGTCGGCCGACCCAGTTGTTGTGGTGAGTGGAATTTGGGGGCGATAGATGGATCGGGATTTACATCGATCCGCTGAATGTCCGAAGACCTTGCATATTTTGCAGTAGTGGCGCCTTGGTTGTCGTCGCTCTTCGCGGTTGTCTGTGTAGAAGGCGAGGCGCTCTCGGCGCGGCGCGGAGCTTGTTCTGCTCGAATCCATGTCCTGCTGTTCAGTCAGGAGTGCGGCGCATAGCGCGGCTTCTGAGATAATCCCTCGCTGTCGGAGTAGCGCTTTACAGGGCTTCCACTCTGGCCGGAGTCCTTGAAGGACTATGTTTACAAAAATCTCTTCCGAGATTGCGCTCCCATGCTTCGTGATCTGGTCACGGATGTTGCGACAGCGGTTAATATAAGAATTCGCTTTCTCCCTGTGCCCCATCTTTGTCTCCATAAGCTGCTGCAGGAGCCTGCTGGCGGTGACCGAGTCTTTCGGCTGATAAACCGCAATGAGGTGCTTCCAGGCTTCCAAGGCTGGAGCGGCGCTCTCTTTGTAGGAGCGGATGCTAAGTTGTTCCGCAGGCGTCATGTTTCGCAGCAGCACACTGTACGCCATGAGGGACTCGCTGTAGTACTGAGCCCTGGCGTCGTCGGTGTCTTCCACCGGTTTAGAGTAGGAGCCGTCGAAGTAGTGGTAGATCTGCGCTGTCTGTAGGAGGAGCTCAAGCTAAAAACTCCATGTGTAGAAATCCTTGCCGTCGAATGCGGCAGTAGTTTTGATTTTTGAAACGCTGAGAAAGCGTGCTTGCGCAGAGTTAATGACTTCATCATTTGGACGGGGGGCAGTTGTTGTTGATTTGTCTGTGTCGAGGGAGAAGGTGTGTGCGGCGGTATCACGGCTTTTTGTAGCCGGTTGTCCAGGTTGAACTGGTTGGGAAGAGGTTCCCGCATCGCTTTTGCGCAGGTCTTGGAGTTATTTCTCCATAGTTGGAAGTCGAGCGAATAACTGCTCGAGTGCGGCAGTGCCGATCGTGGTTGTCGCCTCATTTGTCGCAACCGAGTTGGTTTGTCCTTCAGCCGTCAAAATTGCTTGGCCTCCGGATCCTCCGGCCATCTTGGTCTTGGAGCGTGAGCCGCTCGCCAGATTTGGGTTCGGCGAATTTCACGGAAGTGATGTTGCGAAGAATCCCTGAGTAGCTCTCATACCATGTTACAATCCCAAGTGGGACTTAGCGAAGGATCGCTCAGGGTTGATCGCAGAGTAGTATTGCAGCGGAAGTTTTGAATCTCAGGTCAGAGTGAATGTAAATGACTGAGTTGATGAGAGCATGCATACATCGAGTTTATATAAGAATATAGGGGAATACAAAGGACCTAGAGTAGCCATGTACTCTAAGGGGTACATTCCCTTATTACAGCAAATTCAAACCGTGCGGCGCGGGAACCCGTTTTGAACATGTTCCCGCTCTTTTCACTTCAAATATTTCTGCCTGCATCGGTCTTGGTCAGACGGTTGCTGCGTCGCTTCGACTCTTCTGACTCCTCGACTTCGTACTCGGTAGAGTCGGCTCCTGCAGCATACAGGAATGCCTTCTCATAAAACTTCATATCGTAACAAGCAGTAACGGGCGAACAACGGCTGCTGCTTTATGCGATGTTGAAAGTCGCGGTAAGGAATGTCTAGAAAATTCCTGATAGTTTGTAACAACAACGGAAATTTTCCAGCCATCTAGACGCAAGGATATTGGTCAAGCTGTGACCGTTTCCCATTCCCACACTTCTCGTGTGGTGTGTTGAGGGACCAACGGTCGCCATTCGCGACAATAGACTTCGTCATGCTCGCGAAAGTATGTGGCTCGCAAATCCCCGACTGCGGGGACAGGGCGCGCAAATTCAAAAATCCATGTCTAATGTGCGGCTCGAGCTCGGAACTAATTTTCGTTTTTCCAGCTTCACCGCCCGTGCGCGCAGCAATACCACCTTCCCAACCATCGTCCATGGGGCGAATTTCCTTCAACATTCTGGGAATAGCGTAGGTCGCATCTGATATGCATCGATTGTTGTGTCTCCGGCCCTGCTCCTCCCTAGCCGTTTCATATAGATCAGCAGGAATATTTCGTTAACAGAGGCCTACCTTGAGGAAGTACACTTTGTTTTACCGATGATTTGAGTGCAGTCGTGAAACTGATGCATATGCTCCGCCTAGTCACAGGTGCTGCAATGGCTGCTCCGTCGTGCCGCCACAAGTCTCCCTCCCATGATCCTTCCAAGGAATCTCTCCAGGCTTTACTTCACCCCTGCTCCTACTCTTCGCCCCGTTCCAGTTGTTTCCTCTCCACTCGCCGCGTTTCGTCCCTCTTCTCCCTCCTCCCACGCTCCTCTCTCCACATCCTCCTCCTCGTATCCCTCCTCACACTATCGTTGCTTTCGCACTCTCTGGCCGTCAGCTCAGGCAAATCTGACCGCTCTGTCTCCTCCATCGCGCCGCGCGCGTCGGGAGTGCTCCAGGTCCGCGAAAGACTGGGAGGCGCGGGGCATTCTTCTCGCAACGCCGCGCGGCCACGGCGCGCGAAGAAGAACAAGAAAGGCAAGCGGACCGGGGCGCGCAAGGCCAAACATCCCCAGGGGAAGGGGAACAACAAGAAGGGCTCTGGCAGCGTGAGAAGCGGACGCGGCAAACGCGACGCCGGCACTCACGGCGATCCTTTCAAACGAGGCACGAATCATAGCATGCGCAGCAGCGCGAGCATGCTAACCAGCCTCCAACGCATCATCAACGCGCCGCGAGCCGGTGGCTGTAACATGGCGACTGGCGAAGGGTGTTCCGCTGGCGACCATCACTACATTGATCCTCTTTCCAACGGGCTTCCGAACGGCGGGCCGCTCATGGCGCAGATTCAGGCTGCCACAGCGCCACGTAGGCGAGAAGTGGATGACATTATTCAAAACGCGTACGCTGCCAAGTCAACTGGCGAGCTGCGTTACCAGCTGACGCTGTCGCTTCGCTCCATTCGTATGGCCCGTCGCAGCATGTACATTGCGTCGCCACTGTGCCGTCGCTCGCTCAAGTTCGCCATTTCGCAGTCCAAGAAGGTTGACAGATTTCTTCGCAAGGGCGACGTCGCACACGCGCGCAAGCAGACGGTGCTCCTCGCCAAGGCCGTCGTCGACTGTCAGCGAGACGTCGGGAGCGTTATCGCGAAGCGAAGCAGTAACGGCGCGCCGAAAGCGCATGGTTACGAAGTAGAGACCGCGACAACACAAGGCACGAGCCTGGCTGGTGGCAGGAACAGCGACGTTGGCGGTTTCGTGGAATCATTGTCCGTACTCGACCAAGCCGCCTTCACGACAGCTGCGACGGCTGCGAAAATCCTCGCCGAAAGTGGCGACGAGTACAGCGACAGCTTTCAGGAGTTGGAGAACGCTGTTATTCGCTTGAGCGCCGTTGGGCAGACGCTGAAGCGCGTGAGCGGCGCGCGGGGAATGTCACGCGGAATTGTGGGACCGGAGGGGAACCAGGGGCTCCAGGAGGTCCTGCAAAAGCCGCCGACGCGTGCGACGAGCATCGTGGACTTCGTCGTGGATTACGGAGAGGAGCTGGTTGCCACGCTCCCGAAGGACGTAACGACGCTGACCTTCAACGGCACGCTCGGTAAGTCGCATCCGCCAGAGCCCCTCTCCCTCGCCACTCGCGATTAGATTTAGGTAGGAAACTCACAAGAGCTCCAGTCTCGTCCCATCGCATCGCCCTGCCTCACCGTTCCCCCTCCCTCCCTTCTCCGCCCTGTCCTGTTCTCCTTGCTCTTCTCCTTCCCCTCTCCCCCCCTTGGCGGCGTTCAGGCGCGCGCATCCACTCCGCGCTGGCCTTCCCCTCGGGGGTGTTCTCCGCGCGCCTGCAGTGTCCGCAGGGGCAGGCGAGCGGGCTCGACACCACCTTCTATGTGAGACCCCCCGCCCCGTGTTCGACGCCAACGCTGCGCTTCCTTCTCTTGAAATCAGAACATTACCGTTGCTACTACTAACTCTACATTGGGACTAAGCCCAGTGCTTCACGCGTGTTGGCACTTAGCGAGCGTGTTGAAACTGCTCTCTTCCAAAAACGCACGGTCCCCAGTCGAGTCTTCTCCAAAATCGCATCACCTTCCCCTCCCACCCTCCGCCATTCCCTCACACTTCCTCACACTCTCCCCTCCACCCGTCTCCGCTCCTCGACCCCCTCTCTCCGCGCGCGTTCCCCCACCCGCCACCCCGCAGCTGTCGACGGTGGAGGGCGGCCCGGCGACGGACGCGATCGTGATGAGCGTGTTCGGCAACGCGCGCACGCGCGTGCGGTGCATGGTGATCGTGGACGGCGTGCCGGGCAGCACGCAGGAGGTGGAGGTGGGCGACGACTGCGCCGTGGGCTTCCATAACATCACCATCATGTGGAGCAAACAGATCATCATGTGCGCGCGCGGCGGGGGTGGGGATGGGGAAGAGGGGGGGAGAAGTAGGGGGGTTGTGGAGACTGGGGAAGGCGGGGGTTGACATGCGGGCTTGTTATTTCGGCGCCTCGATTGCAGTTCAAGCGCTCCCCGTGTCACTGCATCCAGGTTCCCATTCGCATTCGCATTCGCATTCGCATTCGCATACTCACGCCTATTTCACCCCCCTCTACGCCCCCCTCTCCCCTTGTCCCCCCCCTTTCAGATGGATGTACGACAACCAGGTGCTGCGCGTGCTATCGCGCGACATGCTCTCGCCCTTCCCGCTCTCCACCACAATGTTCCTCTACGCCTCGCTCTACGACACCTCGCCCTACCCTTACGCCTGGCAAGCCGGCTACCTCCGCTCTTCCGCGCTCTCCCTCTCCGCCACCTACGCCGCGCCCACCGCGCTCGCCCCTACGCCCTCCCTCAACTTCAACCTGCCGCTGGACCCGTTACTAGGTGCCCCGTTAGAGACACGCCCGAAGGGGCGGGTGATGGGGCGAGGGGCAATGTGGCCCGTGGCGATCGACTACTGCTCGACGCACGTGGAGACGCAGAGGGGGTACCAGTCAATCCGGTTCGACGGCACGGGGTGTGGCGGGCGCTTCCACTCCACGCTGCGCTACTTCAGCGGAACGTTCTCCGCGCTCTACCAGTGCCCGCGGGGGAACGCGTCCGGTCTCGTGTCCGCGTTCTACGTGAGTGTGAAGGGGGGAGGGGGATTGGGGGAGGGGGATTGGGGGAGGGGGATTGGGGGAGGGGGATTGGGGGTGGGCTCCTTGTGTTGATCTCTCTCTCCGTACTCACGCTGCTCGTGACGCGTTTGGCCCTCTGGCCGCCCTGCACACGCATACTTCCCACCCATCCCAGTTCGTACACAGCACCACACTAGCATCAGACACCAGCCTCACAAACTCCCCTCTACCATCCACCCATCTCCCCTGTCCCCCTCCCCACACATCTCCCCCTCTCCATCCCCAAGCGCATCACCCACGCCACTCCCCGCGCGCAGCTATCCTCCAGGACGAGATAGACGTTGAGCGGCTGGGCAACGTTCAACCAAGCTGAAACTCACCTGCGGCTGGGCAAGAAACACCGAGCCGTGCAGACTGAATCTGACCAGTCGACTCAAAAGTCACCCCCCGCGCCCCCCCCCTTCCAACCCGCTCCACACCACCCCTGGCCGCACCCCCCCACTTGTGCAGCTATCGTCGGAAGAGGGCAGCAGGTTCCAGGACGAGATCGACTTCGAGTGGCTGGGCAAGAACCACCGCGCCGTGCAGACCAACTTCTACGTCAACGGGGGCGGCGGCCGCGAGGTGCTCGTGCCGCTCGCCTTCGACTGCTCCGACGCTTACCACAACTACACGCTCTCCTGGACCAGGGAGAAGATCCGCTGGTATGTGGACGGCGCGCTTGTGAGGGAGGCGTTATCCAGTCAGTCTGACGCGTATCCGGTGAAGCCCATGTATGTGTATGGGTCCATGTGGAATGCCAGCTGGGTGGTCAACGGCGGGTGGTCCGGCGCGTATAGTGGCGTGGACGTGCCTTATTTCGCCAAGTTTAAGGGTATTAGGATCGAGACGGCTTGAGGGAGGGAGGGAGGAGAGCTCGCAGGAAGGCGGGGAAGGCGGGGATACAGCGAAGCAGGATTGCAGAGATGACGAGAGTCGTGCACTCTCTTTCTTTGATACGAGCACACTCCCCTTGTTAGCTTCTGCCTCTAACTTGCATGACAGGGCAACACTCAGCAATAGCGGATGGCACATGGCTCTGTGCCTCCTTGGTGGCTAACCCCACACAACCAGGTTTGAGCTAACTGCCGTGCCCCTTTGTTCTTACTTCTAGGTCTCCAGCTTCTGTTTCAGTGCAGCACAAGTTGCTCTTGCTCAAGAAGCCTTTTGTTAGTATTTGTCACCGCCCTAGACATGTTTAGTGGTTTTTATTTTAACCTGGATCATGGTCTGTGCACATTGTTTTAATTCAATCATTCTCTGATTACGGTACCCTGAACCTCTAAATGTGTGAGGGTACCTGATTGACAATTGTGTGTGTTCCCAATGAAGCCACGTCTGTGTCGTGTTGAAGGCTTCCAGGGAGAGTCATTTCAGTTTACCACTCCATCCTCTCCTGCACAAAACCCTTGGACTTGATCCTTCGAAGCAACACAGTTGTTCAGACACTGCAACTGCTGACATGAAAATGTTGCACATAGGTGAAAAGGATTACATATTGCGGTACATCACAAATCAAATTATGCATCACTTACAGATAGAACCTCTCCTTTACCCGGTTCAGGCAGCAGTAACAGACACAACACGCCTGTAACCATACCATATAGCCCAAAGATGAACAGGGGATAACTAGGGGAGGTGCGACCGAGGAGCACTATATGGGGTACAAGCACTGTAGCGACTTGGCCTGCCTGCGTGACTATAGCGAGAGACAAGTGGCGGATGGAGGTGGGGAAGAGCTCTACCTGAAGCACATAGGCAGAGGAGAAAGAGGAGGTGATACAAAAGAGGGCGAGGAGGGAGCAGAGAGGTGGGATGAAAGGGAGGAGGGAGTTTGACTGTACATGTGAATTTGCCTGTACATACTGGTATGAGTGTGACTGTACATGTGCCTGTAATTGTGACTGTACACGTGATTGTGACTGTACACATGATTGTGACTGTACACATGATTGTGACTGTACACATGATTGTGACTGTACACATGATTGTGACTGTACACATGATTGTGACTGTACACGTGATTGTGACTGTACACGTGATTGTGACTGTACACGTGATTGTGACTGTACACGTGATTGTGACTGTACACGTGATTGTGACTGTACACATGATTGTGACTGTACACATGATTGTGACTGTACACATGATTGTGACTGTACACATGATTGTGACTGTACACATGATTGTGACTGTACACATGATTGTGACTGTACACATGATTGTGACTGTACACATGATTGTGACTGTACACATGATTGTGACTGTACACATGATTGTGACTGTACACATGATTGTGACTGTACACATGATTGTGACTGTACACATGATTGTGACTGTACACATGATTGTGACTGTACACATGATTGTGACTGTACACATGATTGTGACTGTACACATGATTGTGACTGTACACATGATTGTGACTGTACACATGATTGTGACTGTACACGTGATTGTGACTGTACACGTGATTGTGACTGTACACGTGATTGTGACTGTACACGTGATTGTGACTGTACACGTGATTGTGACTGTACACGTGATTGTGACTGTACACATGATTGTGACTGTACACATGATTGTGACTGTACACATGATTGTGACTGTACACATGATTGTGACTGTACACATGATTGTGACTGTACACATGATTGTGACTGTACACATGATTGTGACTGTACACATGATTGTGACTGTACACATGATTGTGACTGTACACATGATTGTGACTGTACACATGATTGTGACTGTACACATGATTGTGACTGTACACATGATTGTGACTGTACACATGATTGTGACTGTACACATGATTGTGACTGTACACATGATTGTGACTGTACACATGATTGTGACTGTACACATGATTGTGACTGTACACATGATTGTGACTGTACACATGATTGTGACTGTACACATGATTGTGACTGTACACATGATTGTGACTGTACACATGATTGTGACTGTACACATGATTGTGACTGTACACATGATTGTGACTGTACACATGATTGTGACTGTACACATGATTGTGACTGTACACATGATTGTGACTGTACACATGATTGTGACTGTACACATGATTGTGACTGTACACATGATTGTGACTGTACACATGATTGTGACTGTACACATGATTGTGACTGTACACATGATTGTGACTGTACACATGATTGTGACTGTACACATGATTGTGACTGTACACATGATTGTGACTGTACACATGATTGTGACTGTACACATGATTGTGACTGTACACATGATTGTGACTGTACACATGATTGTGACTGTACACATGATTGTGACTGTACACATGATTGTGACTGTACACATGATTGTGACTGTACACATGATTGTGACTGTACACATGATTGTGACTGTACACATGATTGTGACTGTACACATGATTGTGACTGTACACATGATTGTGACTGTACACATGATTGTGACTGTACACATGATTGTGACTGTACACATGATTGTGACTGTACACATGATTGTGACTGTACACATGATTGTGACTGTACACATGATTGTGACTGTACACATGATTGTGACTGTACACATGATTGTGACTGTACACATGATTGTGACTGTACACATGATTGTGACTGTACACATGATTGTGACTGTACACATGATTGTGACTGTACACATGATTGTGACTGTACACATGATTGTGACTGTACACGTGATTGTGACTGTACACATGATTGTGACTGTACACATGATTGTGACTGTACACATGATTGTGACTGTACACATGATTGTGACTGTACACGTGATTGTGACTGTACACGTGATTGTGACTGTACACGTGATTGTGACTGTACACGTGATTGTGACTGTACACGTGATTGTGACTGTACACGTGATTGTGACTGTACACATGATTGTGACTGTACACATGATTGTGACTGTACACATGATTGTGACTGTACACATGATTGTGACTGTACACATGATTGTGACTGTACACATGATTGTGACTGTACACATGATTGTGACTGTACACATGATTGTGACTGTACACATGATTGTGACTGTACACATGATTGTGACTGTACACATGATTGTGACTGTACACATGATTGTGACTGTACACATGATTGTGACTGTACACATGATTGTGACTGTACACATGATTGTGACTGTACACGTGATTGTGACTGTACACATGATTGTGACTGTACACATGATTGTGACTGTACACGTGATTGTGACTGTACACATGATTGTGACTGTACACATGATTGTGACTGTACACATGATTGTGACTGTACACATGATTGTGACTGTACACATGATTGTGACTGTACACATGATTGTGACTGTACACATGATTGTGACTGTACACATGATTGTGACTGTACACATGATTGTGACTGTACACATGATTGTGACTGTACACATGATTGTGACTGTACACATGATTGTGACTGTACACATGATTGTGACTGTACACATGATTGTGACTGTACACATGATTGTGACTGTACACATGATTGTGACTGTACACATGATTGTGACTGTACACATGATTGTGACTGTACACATGATTGTGACTGTACACATGATTGTGACTGTACACATGATTGTGACTGTACACATGATTGTGACTGTACACATGATTGTGACTGTACACATGATTGTGACTGTACACATGATTGTGACTGTACACATGATTGTGACTGTACACATGATTGTGACTGTACACATGATTGTGACTGTACACATGATTGTGACTGTACACATGATTGTGACTGTACACATGATTGTGACTGTACACATGATTGTGACTGTACACATGATTGTGACTGTACACATGATTGTGACTGTACACATGATTGTGACTGTACACATGATTGTGACTGTACACATGATTGTGACTGTACACATGATTGTGACTGTACACATGATTGTGACTGTACACATGATTGTGACTGTACACATGATTGTGACTGTACACATGATTGTGACTGTACACATGATTGTGACTGTACACATGATTGTGACTGTACACATGATTGTGACTGTACACATGATTGTGACTGTACACATGATTGTGACTGTACACATGATTGTGACTGTACACATGATTGTGACTGTACACATGATTGTGACTGTACACATGATTGTGACTGTACACATGATTGTGACTGTACACATGATTGTGACTGTACACATGATTGTGACTGTACACATGATTGTGACTGTACACATGATTGTGACTGTACACATGATTGTGACTGTACACATGATTGTGACTGTACACATGATTGTGACTGTACACATGATTGTGACTGTACACATGATTGTGACTGTACACATGATTGTGACTGTACACATGATTGTGACTGTACACATGATTGTGACTGTACACATGATTGTGACTGTACACATGATTGTGACTGTACACATGATTGTGACTGTACACATGATTGTGACTGTACACATGATTGTGACTGTACACATGATTGTGACTGTACACATGATTGTGACTGTACACATGATTGTGACTGTACACATGATTGTGACTGTACACATGATTGTGACTGTACACATGATTGTGACTGTACACATGATTGTGACTGTAACATGATTGTGACTGTACACATGATTGTGACTGTACACATGATTGTGACTGTACACATGATTGTGACTGTACACATGATTGTGACTGTACACATGATTGTGACTGTACACATGATTGTGACTGTACACATGATTGTGACTGTACACATGATTGTGACTGTACACATGATTGTGACTGTACACATGATTGTGACTGTACACATGATTGTGACTGTACACATGATTGTGACTGTACACATGATTGTGACTGTACACATGAT